ATCATTGTCTTTGGTTAAATTTTACACAGCAAATTAGGTTCCCATTTGATAATTTGTGTACAAGTTAGTCTTAGAGACATGACATTTTTCAGTCTGTCCCACCATCTTCAGCTGCATCTGGTTGGTCCATATCCAGTACTCTAGTTCCCTTGCCCATTACCTTCTCCTCTTTGTTTAAGAGTTATTCATGATCATTTGGTCTCACATAGATGATTTTTTTTAATGGCGCACTGCCCTCGCCGGTAATGTCTGCTATCTTTGTGCCACAGTTATTTGGCTAAAAGGTGACTTCTGGCAGTAGTCCTCAAGTCTCAACCATGCTTTAAATCTGAGCCTTTGGAGGACTTGAGTTCTGATCGACATCTTCCTCCCATTCTGTCGGTAACCAGCTGTTGTGTGCCTGATCCTAACAGTAGTCAGACATCACCAGCTCTTCCGGCCTCAGGGTAGATGTGGGCACCGCTCTGGATGCTTCATTGGACGATTTCTTCTCTGAGATGTTGGTGTCTTTGTTCACAGATGTTACATACAGACCATTAGTCATGTCTCAAATCATCAATCATGTCTTACAAGCGCTTAAGACCCCAGTGGTGCTCACCTCACCAGGATGCAGAATTGTGAATTATTTTTTTAATTATTTTTTTTATTTTTATTGTATTATTTTTACGTATATCGTCAAATCAGATCTGACTGGTACAGGAGGAGATTGCCTCCTCCTTCTCCATCAGAGCATCTGGTGGATTTGAACCACGTACCTCTGGGATTGCAGTGCAGCGTCTTGGCACTAGGCCACCAGAGCTCCCTTGAATTTTTATTTTCCATACCTGTTGTCCTAGGAGACCAAGGTCTTAAACCATCAAAGTCAGACACCCAATCTTGAAATGTATGTAATTAATTATGTCTGAGAAGTGTCTGTAGCTTTGGTCGCTATGATTGGAATTACTCTCTTGTTAAACTTTCTTTATATTAAAATATGATTTGTTGCTTATAAAAAAATGTCTGGAGCGATGATACTTCCCCCCCACCCCCAACAGCTGCTTTCCCAGCCATGCTGTGAGTTACTTTCCAAGGAAGGCTCTTTGAGGGCTGACATTTCCCAGGCCTGTGTGCCCTGTTTGCTGGGCCCATCACTTTCTTTGCCATTGGTTAGAGAATTTGGCCAGTGGACCATCCCAGTCATCCTCCAGCAGCATTTTCTGTGGGCTTCCACAGAGGGGAAGGGTCCTCGTGACCATATACTGTTATTGTTGTTTGCTGCATTGAGTTGGTACCAACCTGCGACTCGTTGTGCACATGGAGGGAAATGCTGCCCAGCTCTGTGCTGTGTCTGCATTATCATCTTACAGTGACTCATTTTCAGAACTACTTCTGAACCTTCCTCTCGGCCTTTCTTCTCTGTCTAACTCTAGAAGCAACATTGAAGCTTGTTCAGTGTCATTGGTTCTGTCTGTCAAGTTGCCTCCAGTCCACAGCAGTCGGGGGTACACCAGTCCTTTGTGGTCTTGCACCGTCTTTACAGTCGGCTGTGCTTACGCCCATTGTTGCTTCTACTATGTCGCTCCTTCTCATCAAGGTTCCTCCTCTTTTTCATTGACCCTTTACTTTTACAAGCATGGTGAGCTTCTCCAGGGACTGCTGTGTCCTGATAACACACCCAGGTCAGTGAGATACGGACCCACCAACCATCCTTTGCTTCTGAGGAGCTCTCTGGCTTATTTCTTCCAAGACAGTTGTGTTCATTCTCTTGTCATCCATGGTACATCCCGTGTTCTTCACAGACATCCCAACTCAGAGGCACCATTTCTTCTTCAGCCTTTTTCATTCGTTGTCCGGCTTTCACATGCATATGAAGCACTGGAAAGTTCCCACTGGCAGGCACCGTGACTGCACATGAGGTATATTGACTGAGAATCAAACTGAGTCTCCAACTTGGAAGGTGAGAATTCTCCCCCTGATCTCTCAGTGCCTCAAATCTAGGCACTCATCACACTGGTGGCCTAGTGGTAAGAAGTTGTGCCGCAATCCCAAAAGCACACAGTTCAAATTCACCAGATGCTCCATGGGAGAAGGATGGGGGCAGTCTCTTCTTGTGTGATTAAACTACTTCTGAAAAACTCCTGGAGGGTCGACTACAGGTCAGTTCCCATAAGCACACAACAAAAACAGCAACAATCACTAGTAAGGGGAAGCATCGAATCTCCAGAATCCTCAGGGGTTCTCCCAAATCAGTAAGATTTTCGGATCACCAATGATTGACATTTCAACTAACTTAAGCCATCTCCAATTTAATCATTCCACCTCTAAAGTGGATTAAACATTCCCTGTATTCTCTATGAAGGAATTTCCCTCTCCCTCCATACCCCCCCTAATAGATAGATGTGTGGGTTTCAGAAGGATTTGATGTTGTCATTGTTTATTGAGGGTGTGTATGACTTTTGCATCTGTAACAAATGACTCCAGGCACCTGAAGACATAATAAATACAAATTTTACAGTCTTCCTGTTTGCTGCTTTGTAATTAGGATATTGGTTGGAACTTGTTACTGCTGTCGGCATAGTTGCCTCTATAACCCTTTGCCGCTTTGTAATCTGCTACTTGTGGTAAATTGTGCAATTGTAAACCATAAAATCCAGGTTTATTTGTTTGTTCATGTATGTATTTAAACCTGGGTTCATTCACAAATGTGTACCACTTAGATTCATGCCAGTAAGCACCTGGCTTACAAAAACGAGTAAGACGTAGACCTTGAGGAGAGACAGCGGGGGATGGGGCAGACGGGGAGAGGGGGGGCAGTGGTAGAGACGTGGACAGCGGAGCCTCTTCACCAGACTGGAGGATGGACAAGCACAGCCAAGCCTCTGCCTCCCGGGGACCATGTTCACAGTAAAAGTGACGGAGCTACCAGTCTTCCTTCTCTGTCTCATTCCCTTGAAGTAAGAAGGGAGTCCCAGCTGACCCTCTGGTGGGTTGCCAGAGGCTGTAAATGCCCAGGGAGAACACGGCCTCTCTGCCCCCTGCGGAGCCATTGGTAAATGCCAACCCCTCCTTGAGTTTACCTGCTGATTATGCCTCCAGAGGTCCCTGCATCTGCTCATCCATCTACTATATAAGCATATGTTCTGTGGCATTTGTTTTGACTGTAGAGCTTAATTTCCTCTGTCTGTGCAGTGTTTTAGATACTAACATTTCATCATTAACCAAACTTCATATGGAGGGAGGTCTTATAGTAACATCTGCCACATAGATATATGTACGTATGTATGTGTGAGAATGTGTATGTGTGTATACGTAAGTGATGTGAAACATGGTTAAAATGCTGATATCTAGATCTCTGAATTATAAATGTTCATTTTCCCTTTCTACTGGCATAAAGAATAATATATAGCCTTGGCCCTTAAACAGCACGGCCGTGATCTGTGATGACCCACTTACTCGGATTCTTTGCCTGTTGCTCACGTCTTGCTCATCACCCCCACATGCACGGGTGGCCAGAGTCACGTGGCGTTCCCAGCGAGTACTCTTGAGCTCACCACAATGTCAACAGGAAAACCCAATATAAGTAGGCCCGCACTGTTCAAACGCATGCTGTCCAAGGGTCAGGGGTATCTCATACATGGATTTTGTACTGCATGGGGGGGTTGGCAGCCCTAATCCCCACATCCTTCAAGGGTAGACTCTATGCTATACCGTTTATAGGGCAGTACCTTGCCATGTATCATGTTCCCCAAAAGCCTCGTACCTAATATTCTCTAGTCCGTTAGTGAGCCTTCGCTGAATCAGTTATTAGGTAGGAATGCTGCCAAATTGTGATAATTTTTCCCCCCGCAGCGCCTCTCCCTTTCTTATGCATCAGGGTATTATAAAGAAGAGCTTTGTAGTCTCTTCCTCTGTATCTTAATGGATGCAGACCCACGGATGTTGTGTTTTTCCAGTGCATCACAGTAACTCATTCCAGGCTCACCTTGCACTCTGCTTGCTGGCTTCCTGGAATCAAACCATTTCTTAAGAAGCTCATTTAACGCAAATAGCGTTTAGAAAGCAAGATTTGAGCACCAGGAACATGTGCTAGTATTGAGATGTCCTTGTTCTCAGACTTTGCAGTAACTGAAAAAGGGAATGTATTAAAAGAAGGGAGAATAAAAGAACGTTTTTGTTCTTCTAAAGTATCAGTCTGTTATAAAATCTGTTCTCTTGTCTGTTAGAAACTCAATTATGGTGGTGCTTTCAAAAAAAACTCTAGGGAAAATTACTACATAACTTGGAAGGGACTGGGAGCATTATGCTGAGTGAACTAACTCAGTCCCATAAGGACAAATACTGTATGAGATCATAATTGTAGAAATAGAAAGATAACTAGTGAAAAGTGTATGAGGATCCAGGGTGGAGAAGGGAGGAGCAGAGGGGGTGAAGATAGGAATGGGGGAAATCATAGGTTCACACAATTTGATGGATGGAGGGAGAGGTGGGTAAAGGAAATGGGAAGGTTCTGACGAGGATCTGGAAAGACGGGGCATTGGTGGGCCTAGTTCAGTGCTGATTCATTTTATAAAATATAGTGGTCGGGAAAAAAAAATAAAAAATATAGTGGTCGGGAATGAGTGTATGAAACACAATGTCAGTGAAGGATAGTGTGAAACACAATGTATACAAACTTTTTAAACAAACCAATATAAAATAAAGTTTAAAAAAAAACCAAAACCCAGCATGTTACTGGGATAATGACGGGCATATAGACTAATAGAGCAGTAAAAAAAAAATCAACCAAAACCGAACTCTGTAGGGAGAAAAGGGGCACTTAATTTGAGCAGGAGTGAAACCAAAACAGTGCCCAGAAATGTAGAATAAGCTACTCAGGGAGACAGTTGTTCAGTCACATGACTTCCTTCGTGGGATGTTATATGTGTAACAGAAGAAATACCTATACCAATCTTTTCTGTCCTATGTGCACTACATATCTAAAAGGCATTTCTAATGTTGCCAATATGTTCGGTTGCTTCCAGGTGCGGCTAAATCAAGTCCAGCATCTAAACCCGGATCCACACCTTCTCGTCCCTCCTCAGCCAAAAGGGCTTCGTCCAGCGGCTCCGCATCCAGATCCGATAAAGATTTAGAAACACAGGTCATACAGCTCAACGAACAGGTAACTCAACTTCCCAACTCCGTCTTTGGTCTGTGTCGGGGTGAGAGACCAGATGACCCAACAAACTTAAAATAGGGGTTCAGGGAAAGTTAAGGCAGCACCATGGGTTCCCAGCCAGTAAGAATGACAGGAGCTGTTTGAGAAGATAAAATCATTGGTCTATTAGAATAGACGATGATGATACTTACCTGGCAGGGGAGATACCATGATCACGAAGGTGGTTTTCCCAGGGTGAGGCTTATCCATTGCACTCCGGATGTGCTGACCCCTGCAATTTCCCCAAATGTGGGAAACTCGACTGCATAATTTGTGGTAGTGGGGGACTGCGTTCACGCTTTCGCCTGGCGGGGGGGAAAAAAAGAATAGATGATGAGGACGATCACAAATCTCAAGATTGGACACTGGGATTGAAGAACGGACAGCTCAGGTGAGGTGCAGGCTAGCCCTCCCCTCTGTGTCTCCCAGTGACCATCGTGAGCTCCAGACCAGACCTTGACCTCTCCGACCTGTCTAAAGAGTGTTGGCTGGCTCCAGAGTTAGACCGTCTCCCTTGCTCTCTCCCGCTTTGCTTTCTTTCAATAATTGTTTGTTCAGCTTATTTTATGTGTCAAGTGTTATGCAGGACACTAATAAGATAATGGTGTGCAAGACAGAGACGGCAGTTGTAAAGGCAGGCTGTACAGAGGAACAAGACTTCATCTTCCCGCGGTGGGAAACAGTTCAGTGCTGCTGACGCACTGAACCCAATGTTGGGGGTCAGGAAGGCTACACGTGCGCTTGAAGTTACAGTCCTTTCTTTGTTACACAGTACACCTCGTAATGAACAGGAAATCGAGCTGTCTTGGAAATTCAGTGGCTCATCTTACCTAAGCACTGGCCGTGGAGTCCACACCAACTCCTAGTGGCCCTAGTAGAAACAGTGCTCCACAGGTTTCCAGTGGCTGGTTTGTCAAATGTAGATTGCCAGGCCTTTCTTCCAAGGGGCCTCAGAGTAGACTCAAATCTCTAGACTTCTAATCAGCGGCCCAGTGCATGATGGTTTGCACCCACCAGGGACTCTTATGTTGTATCTTATTGGATTTATACTATTAATTTTTACTTATTTTGTGTGTGTGTGTTTGTGTACCATCAATTTGGATCTGACTGGTGCAGGAGGAGATTGTCCCTCGTTCTCCAGCAGAGCATCTGGTGGACTTGAACTGTGCTCCTCTGGGATTGCAGTGCAGCTTCTTGCCACTAGGCCATCAGAGCTCCAACCCACCAGGGACTCTTGTGTGCACAATTTAAAAGGGATAAACACGTGGTAGAGCAGAGCCCCGGAGAAGCCACCTGAGCTCAGCCTGGTGGAGACGCTTCGTCCTGGCTGCTCCCACCACTTAGGCAGGAGCCTGTAATCAAGGGCCTGGGGCTGTTTCCCAGCCACTTACGAGGGCATTCCAGGTGATTAATCGTGTGCATGATGAGTCTGCAGCAAGAGTCTGCAAACCATTTTTGAGATAATTGTATATTTGCCATCAAGAATCTACTTGAAAAGTCGACAGTTGCCTAACTAGGGTGTTTCTTTACCATTCCGATCACTTTAATGAAGAAGATAAAGCCTGGAGTCAGACAGTGGGTACAGTTCTGATTCAGAAACTGTTGAATGTGCTAATTAACCACTGATTCTCAGTCTGAGCCCATCGAGTTTCTAATGATAAGCTCAGTTCAAATCAAAAGGCACTTAGAACAGTTCCAGGGAAATCAGAGGAGGCCCAGAGAACTAGGCAGTGGGTCAATAGTGCTTAAGATTTCTAGCTCTTCTCCTCTTGGAAACTCATTCTTGTTGATATCTGTATTACATCATGTTTCCTCCTGACTCTGCTCCTGCCTTTTCTCTGTCTCAACCCTCAGTATTTTCCAAAACTCAACCAAAATTATAGCCACACTGAGGCCTCACAGTCCTGTCTTTCCACCCAGCGCCGCCCTCCCCACTCCCTGGACCCAGCTGTGCGTTCCACTTAGCTCTCTGAGTCACACAAAGGACCCCAGACATCCCGAGAGGCTCCAGACCCCGAAAATGACTCAGCCAAATTATCCTATTATCCAGAATGCCATTCCAGAGACATTAACGGGAGACAGACATTCCAGTGGTCTTCCCCTTTCTCGTTCTAATTCCTTCATCACTTTGCAAAGGCTTCGCTTCTCGCATGCCCCGTGATGCATCCACATTAAGTCCGAGCGTCCTTGCTCCCTCTTCGTCCCTCGGAGGGTCTTACAACACCCCACACTGTGCTCCACTCATTCAACAGCTATTTGCAGAGCACTTGCTCCATATTTGTCTCCTTACTGATTTGTTATTGCTCCGCACATTCTCTGCCCTTGAAACCAACAAAGACGACTCTGAAGTTGGTGAGAGTCACACCAGTAGAATTAGGTTGCATCTGAGATTATTAGGGCCAGAGGAGGTTAAGAAAACATGTTTAGGCTGTAGAGTGAGTTACAGTAGGATGCGGAGACAGCGACAAGTGCCATAAACCCTAAGAATTTTCATTTGCTTGGCCTCCTGCCCTTTTTTCAAGCAGCCTCCCATGATACACTATAAAACCACCACGGTGCTGGACCATGCCCATGATCGAAATGAATCAGAGGGTGGAGGGCAGCAAGACATAAATAAAATCATCCGGAGCTGCTTCTGGACAGCGGATTAGCAGATGGGATGCGGTGTGGCGTCCCTGCCTTGCTGAAGACCACTGGCTGGATAGAGGATGGCTCTTAGTTGGCCCAGGCAGACTCGATGAGTGTTGACTCGGCCTGGCAGGGCCTGGAGTATGTGGAGAATCCTGAAAAGAAACTTCCCTCCTTACCACTTTCCTTTTGACTTCTCTCACAGGTCCATTTGCAGCATCTCTTTCCTCCCTTAGTCTTTAGCTGGGACACATAAGGAACTAGGGTGGCACTGGAAGGCATGGTGGTATGGTGGTTAAATGTTCTGCTGCAAGCCAGACAGTCAGAGGTTCAAATCCATTGGCCACTCCATGGGAGAAAGACTTAGCAATTCCAAAAGGGATTGCCATCTAGGAGCCCCCCGTGAGGCGGTCCTGTCCTGTCCTGTCCTGTCCTGTCCTGTCCTGTCCTGTCAGGTGGCTGTGATTCATGTTCTCCTTGACATCTCCCAACAGCAGGCTGGCACTGGTCTTTGTGAGTGGAGCTAATAAAATGGAATCTTGTTTGCCAGTTCATCCTTCATTGGACTTTAGCTGCTCTTGGCTTTTATTAGGCACTGTTTCTAGCTGAGCAGCTGTTACCTAATACATCTGGAATATCCCCAAATGGGTGGTGGATTTCTCCAGAATAGTCAGCTATTTGTTCATCGTGCAGACCCAGGCACTCTCGGAAGGCCAACAGAACTCGTTCTCCTGGGTCGAGTGTGTCCAAGAGCCGCTCCTTGCCTGGTGGTGCTGAGGGGACAGCTGAGGAGTGGTAGCGTGCCGTAAACTGCCAAAACTCCGTCTGCTGGCACCAGCTCCAGGCTTGAGAGAGACTCCATGGCCAAGGCCAGTGAGATGGCTGGTTGATTTAAACGCAGGAAAGAATTTCTCGTTTTCTCTTTTCTAGAATGTGTCACGTTTGTCTACAGATAGATAGTATTAACAAAAATATGATAGGAATTGAAAATTCACAAATTGACCCTCCACAGTTTTCTGAGAATGGTTCAGAAATGTTCATTGAGAAAAGGTTTTCTTTTCTTCACATCTTTATATTCCTGAGCAGGTGGAGAAGGAAAGGGCTGATGGTGAAGGGAGGAGATACTCTTCCCCCTCCTGGCCCGAGAATCTCCACAGACCAAAAAGAGGAGAGGCAGCAGAGGTTATCCTTCTAGAGAATTCTCTAGCCATCAACTGACTCTCTGGGCTAAGGGAAAGAAAGCCCATCATCTCTGAGAACTGCCTCCTAACATGGCTTGGCACTCATTAGAAAGAGGCTCTTCTACAGCTCGTGGTAGAAGCTCTTCTTACCCTATGAATTGTTCACCTGAGACCACTGCCAGCGAGTTGGTCCTGACTCTGGCGCCCTTCCATTGGGTTTCCAAGACTGGAAATCTTCACAGAAACAGACCGTCATCCCTCAGATCTGCTGGTACATTCCGCCTGCTTAGCTTTCAGTCAGCCCAGCACATTACACAGCTCATCATTATCAGGGCATAGTTAGAGTTCACCTAAATCTTCAAGAAATGTTGGCGAAAACCCAGGTCAAGGTAAACACAGTGGAGCTTGACTGTATCAGACTGCACCCACATCTCTAAGTTCTGGTGACTGTTGACTCCCCAATATCACAGGTGCTAAAACCACCGGAATTTTGACAGTTTTACACATTGCTTTTGTCAGGATCCAGTTGGTTTTTTCCATCAAGTTTAGTATGATTAATTGAGCAACAAAAAGAACGAATTCATTCAACCAGTTCTCTTGACACCTGTTGTGTGGCAAGAATTGTGAGCAGTGGTGAGCACAAGAGGATCTTGCTATTTTGTTGAGTGAAACCAGTAACTATAAAGATATCTGCTTGTGATAAATGTTATAAAAAAGAAAGGCTGTGTACAGGTGTCTGGCAGAGTGCATCAGTTGTATAGAAGACACATGCATACACGCGTGTACATTCACAGACTTACACATGCACAAATACTGAACAGTCCCTGGGAAGCCATCATTGGCAGAATGAGTCGACTTCCCTCTGGAATTAAATCAGTCTTGTAAATAACAGAAGTGAGCCCTCCTCTACCAACCAGTTTATTCCAGCCTTGGAACTAGGGGTCTGACCATGAGAAGCCAGTTGTAATTCTTCCCAAAGAAGTCAATTCTAAAACTCACTCTGTCGACTTTAAAATAGGATCTGGTTTTGCTTAAGGGGGAAAATCTCTGAGCACGTTTTTGATGCAGAGATTTATACCCCATCTGCCCCCTCACAGTGAACATAGATGTGAAAGAGGGAATTTAGGTCAAGAAGGATTCAGTGAGTATTCACTTGTCGTCCCCCCCTCCCCAAAGCCCCAGCCTGGTTGCACAACAGGTCAGTACCTACTGCTCACCAGAAGGTTGGTGGTTCAGACTCAGCAGTACCATGGGAGAGAGACCTGCTTCCATACAGATTACAGCTTGCAAAACCCTGTCAGACACTTGTACTCCATCACATAGGGTCACTGTGGGTCAAAATCTAACCACCCAGCACTTGTGAACTGTACTCTGAAATGTGCAACATGAATGAATCAATGAATGAATGAATGAAAATCCAATTTTTCTTTAAATTTTCATTAAAATCACAATTTTAAAAAAAAACTACACAGCTAATAAAAAAACAAACCCTGTACTCTGCTTTTAAGTTGTGTGTCGTCTACTGGGAGAGACAGACATATAGACAAGACACAAACAACAAACACAAATGATAACGCCTCTCAGGGAAGTGGGAGGAGAGAGCAGCGGGCACAGAGGCTGGATTAGCTCCGTGGGGGTGTTGGTGGTGGTAGCACTGAGGGGCCCCGGGCCTGAGTCTCAGGGATGAGTGAGAGTGTGCCAGGTGAGCAAGAGGAGGACAGGCAAGTCTCCACCTGTATCTGTCAGATCTGATTTGGTGGTGGCAGTGGGGGTTATGTGCCGTCAAGTCGCTTGCTACTCATAGCGACCCTATGTACAACAGCCCAAAACTCTGCTCTGTCCTGTACCAATCGCACCGTCTCTGATACACCCATCCCAATTACCTCATAGTCCACCTCATAGAGGGCCTTCCCCTCCTGCGCTGTCCCTCCACCCTCCCAAGCATGATGTCCTTCTCCAAGGACCGGTCCCTCCTTACAACATGTCCAAAGTGTGTCAGACGGAGCCTCAGAATTCTTGCCTCCAAGGAGCCGCCTGGTTTAATCCTTTCCAGGATGAATCTGTTTATTTCCTTAGCAGTCCATGGTACCCTCAATACTATTCTCCAGGATCACGGTGTTACACACACCAAAAAAGTAATAAAATAA